GTTTGGCAATCGGGACAGATGGCTGCCCGTATGGGTATTATTTCACTAAGCTACATGCAGCAAGCTTTAGGAAAGTTGTTAGATTCTATAACTTGTCAAGATGCAGACACAGTTCAAGCAATTAAAGACATTTTCTCCATGTCTACTAAGGCACTAGATCAAATGGGGAGAGCAGGGGCTTTTCACCATCTAATAAGAAGGAAAACTGCAGCACAAGATCTGGAGTATATACCTTGAAGGATATTCATAGCAAATTTATTTGCCTGCCTCTTCAGAAGATGGCGTATTTGGCAAGAAATTAGAAGAGAAACTTAAAGAAAGAAAAGAGCAGAAAGATTCTCTTAAGGATTTAATTCCAGAATGGAATGAAAAAAATCAGAAACGCAAATTTTCAGAAAATTCTGCTGAAAAGTCTGGGAATTTTAAGATACCCAGAACAACTACTGTTTTGAAAAACAGTTACAGAACAACTGGGTACGGTCCACTAATTATTTTCCCATAGGCGACAATGTTAACGTTTCTTCTCAAAGCGTTGTCTCTAATTTTCGTTCAGAATTGAGTGACCCCTCAAATTAAAGCACATCAACTTGTCTTTCCTTGGTTAAAATATCGAGGTGGCACGTCAGATTCGTTTTCCGGCAAAATGCGTCTATCTGCGGGAACCTCTAAAAATGAAAGTGAAAGTAGGGGAATTTCAGAATTCTCACTGGCGTTATAATACACAAATAGATTCGGCTGATCTTCTTGATAAATTACATTTTCAAAGCTTTTTTGTAGGAAAGATACTCCTTATCAACAAGTGTGAGGCTCAATTCAGTACACCTGCCCAATTTTTTTATGCAAGTCTGCAATTTAAGGAACTTGTATTTTTTCTGCACTACTTTCTTCTCCTACCGATTCTAAAAATAATTAGTGGGATGTACCCAATATGAAAAAGCATTTTTTTGATTTTACAATATTTCACACTGTTTGTCAATCTAGAGCATAAGTAGAGACATCATGCAAAGTTTCATGAAAATTCAACAATTAATTAAGATTTTACAGCATTTACAGTTCTATGTATAATATCCTTAAAAAATGCTCCAATCTAGCCAAAACTGCACCCAAGTTTTGAGTCAAATTTTAGCCTATTAACACATTTATACCATTCTTAATCACCTTCATGTCTTTAAATACATATAGTCAAATCATAATCAAGCACTTGATTGGGTCAATTTCACTTATTTTAAAAAAATATTGTATTTCCGCACAAAATATGACCACTTTTCACATTCTAATTCATAGTTTCTCCAGAAATGACAAAAAAATGAAGTTGGCCGAAATTTCCCCGAAAGAAGTAAAATAAAAAAGTACTGATTATTTCCTGTCCATTGATGTATCATTCATGAAATTTGGACTATGAATGAAAAAGTTATAAGCCTTTATAATCCTATATAGAATCATTTGTTTCTAAGCAATTTTTATACCAATGCAAATTTACTCATCTATGACGTCACAATGACATCATAATAATGGATAGCTCAATACATGTGTATCATTACTTTTTCCGTACTTTTCATTTAAGACCAAATCAGTGCTTATATACTATTATTTACTTTAAAAAATAAAAATATGTGGTTTTGCAGATTAAATAAATAGTTCACTAAAGTTGTTTTGTTTCCATGGTAACCATTTTGTAATTTGTAGGAAAATGAGACAAAATTTTGAATTTCCTGACAAATTGCATAATTTTGACTGTCAAATATTCATGAAATTCAATTCTTATATCCATGTAATCTTAATAATGCATAATTTACAAAACAAAGATGTAGATCTAATTAATTTGAAAATCTTAAATAAGAAAAGAAAATCTATATGAGCTGCAAAATGTATATAGCAGTGCATGTACAGATTAGTTATAGCTAAATATTTTCACATTCTGATCACCTATTTAATATGTAAATTTCCTCACCCCCATCTCATCCCCCCTCTTCAATGAAATTTTTTTTTAGAAAACTTAAACTTACATATTTTGCCGACTGTCACATTTTGCTGGTTCTTTTTCAAGATGTATTCAAATGGGTGTGCATTTGCTGGCCAATAGTTTTAAACACCATCTGCATGGACATCATGTTTTTCCTGTACCAATCACCATGAACCTTAAAAAATCAATACAATAAATGGTACAATATCAGATTTGCAGACAGACAGACACACAGACATTCAACACGGACAATTTTACCATATTCCTTTTATGCCCATTACTTGAAATTAATTAATTTAAAAAATAATTAATTTGCTCCCACCTGAAATCACACTGTTTACATTGGTAATTAAGTTAATTCAGCAGAATAGGTAAAAATCATGCTTTACTGATAATAATTGAACATTCAGCAAATACATGTAATGCAACTGCTAAAAAATATGAGAAAAATCAGTTAATGTGCATGTTCACACACATCGCTTAACTCCCAGACAACTGTACCCAGCTTGACCGCGCAACTGATCTGAAATGATGCATGTCAAGTATGCATCTGTGACGTTCCGATCATCGACATGTTCCAAAAACATTAAATTGTTATTTACAAATATTGTACTAAGGTATGCGTCTTACCTCTTGTGTAAAATACAAATGCCCATCACCTATATACTGCTTAACACTGCCCTGAACAGTTTTGATAACTTTCTGCTAAGTCTACTTTCACTTAGACCTTGACCCCGATTGAATACCGATCCCGAACTCATTTGTGAATTTTTGTGTATTGAAAATAAACCACAGTGGAGCATGTACTTCTACATAATTGCTTCTTAATCAAATTATACATTTACGATTCTGAATAAGTAAATTATATAAATCGATACATTTAATCTACATGATACATGTGTAAACAATGGGTGATACATGTTGACTGTTCCGGGGGGAGGGGGGGGGGGGGGCTAGACACTTTATTTATGAATCAATTTGTTTAAAAATTTGTATCAACAATATAAGAATTGTTTTTTTCATAAATTTGAACAATTGAAAATAATAGAAAACAACAACTTTGAAATAAATTAGAAGATTTATGACATCTTTCACTTACTTATAGGCTTCCTAATATGGGTACAGTCCACTAATTGTTTTCCCATAGGCGACAATGTTAACGTTTCTTCTCATAGCGATGTCCCTAATTTTTGTTCGGTAGTGAGTAACCCCTCAAATCAAAGCACATCAACTTGTCTTTCCTTGGTTAAAATCTCGAGGTGGCATGTCAGATTCGTTTTCCGGCCAAATTCGTCTGTCTGCGGGAACCTCTAAAAATGAAAGTGAAAGTAGGGGAATTTCAGAATTCTAACTGGCATTATAATACACAAAATAATTCGGCTGATCTTCTTGATAAATTACATTTTCCTAGCTTTTTTGGTAGGAAAGATACTCCTTATCAACAAGTGTGAGGCTCAGTTGTTCAGTACACCTGCCCAATTTTTTTTTATGCAAGTCTGCAATTTAAGGAACTTGTAATTTTTTCTGCACTACCTTCTTCTCCTACCGATTCTAAAAATTATTAGTGGGATGTACCCAACTACTCAGAGACCCAATTTCTCAAGACGGTCTTATGACTACAAACCAAGAGAGGACAATTCGAGAAATACGTATACATCTGCTACAGTAGACAGAATTGGCTCCTTTCGGATCCCAAAGAAATCTAGTAAATGACTGGAGATTAGAACAGGTAACCAAAATTGCAATGCTTCCCGAGATACCAGTTGGGGTCGTCTCAAACATTTTGTAGAAAATTGGAATATTGTAACTCAAGACAGTTGGGTATTATCAATAATCAAAGAGGGTTACAAACTAGAATTTCTTCAAAAACCTCAGTTTTTAGGGGTAAAGAAAACAACAATCCCTCAAATACAAAAACATTGTTTGTTAAAAGAGGTAGAAGATTTATTAGAAAAAAATGCAATAGAGCCTGTCTCAAATCAGGAGAGTCAAACAGGTTTTTACAGTACATTTTTCCTTGTCCCCAAAAAGGGTGGAAAAATGAGACCCATCATAAATTTGAGACCCCTCAACCAGTATCTCAAGAAGCAACATTTCAAAATGGACACTTTAAACAAAGTGTTAAATCTAGTGAAACCAAACGATTGGGCAATTTCAATCGATTTAACAGATGCATATCTACACATTCCAATATTTTCAAAACATCGAAAACTTCTAAGATTTTGTGTAGAAAACCAGTGTTATCAGTGGAAAACAATGTGTTTCGGTCCAACATCAGCACCTCGAGTTTTCACCAAAATGGTAGCAGCATATTTGAGAACACACAATATTCGTCTAGTAGTTTACCTAGACGATTGGTTAATAGTAAACCAATCAAAAGAAATGTTATGTCAAGATCGTCAGAAGTGCCTAAATCTATTGGTTTCACTAGGTTTCATGATAAACAAAGAGAAGTCTTGTCTAGAACCAACCTAAGAAATTGTATACCTGGGAGCTCGGTTTTTGTTCAGACAAAAAATAGTACTTCAATCTCAAGACAGGTTGATAAAATTGGTACAATCAACCCAAATGTTAATGCAGGGTCAGAAAACAGCCAAAGATTTTCTCCAATGGTTGGGAATTAGTAGCCTCATGCATAGATCTTATTCCAAATGCTCGTCTTTACATGAGGCCTGCTCAGTTACATCTACTAAGTTTCTGATAGACATGTTTGCATCTATTCACAATCGTCAAACACAGATCTTTTGCACTTGGTTTCCTAACAGCCAAGCATATGCATTAAATGCCCTGACGATATCTTGGGAGGGGATGTTTCTGTATGCTTACCCTCCGATTTGTCTAATTCCCAAAGTTCTTCAGCACATCAGACAATTCAGTTGTCAAGTAATTCTGATAGCTCCCTGTTGGCCAGGAAGACCTTGGTACAGAGGTTTACTTCAGCTTTCAATCTCAATACCAAAAAGACTTCCAAACATTCCAAATTTACTTCAACAACCAAACACAAAAATTTATCATCCAAATCCAGAAGTATTTCAACTAACTGCATGGCTTCTATCGACAGAGGTTTCAAAAAGAAAGGTATTTCTTAAGACACTTAGTCTAGAACCCTTTTGGCAGCAAGTTGGCGAACAGGAATATAAAAAGATTATTCCTGTAAATTCAAACAGTTCAGTAGCTGGTGTAGTTCGAGGGAAATTGATCCCTATTCAGCCTTTTTAGTTGAAGTAGCAAGTTTTTTGACAGGTCTGTATACCAAAGGTCTTCAGTATAGAACTATCGCAGGTTACAGGTCAATGCTGTCCTCAGTACTACCTCCAGTAGATAATGTTTCTGTAGGACAACATCCTTACATTATCAGACTCATCAAAGGAGTCTTTAACTCCAGACCACCAAAAGTTAGGCTAGTGCCAGAGTGGGATTTACCAAGGGTTCTTAATATGTTGCAAGTTGCTCCTTTTGAACCTATAAAAAGTGCATTACTGTAACATCTGACATACAAAACTGTTTTTCTGATAGCTATTACTACTTTCAGGAGATGCAGTGATCTACAATCTCTCAGAATGGGGGGAGAATTTGTCAATGTTCAGAAAAAAGGAGTAACTTTCATCAGAGAAGGTTTGGCGAAGCAAGATAGACCCAACCATTTTGGAACAAAAATATTTGTTCCCACATTTTCAGAAAACAAGTTACTGGATCCAAAAAGATCTTTGTTTCTCTATTTGAAGAAAACAGAAACTCATAGAAAAAACTGAAAACAGATTACAATAAATTATTTTTGAGTTTACTTGAGCCACATCAAGCAGTGACATTTCAGACCATTTCAAAATGGATTGTTCAGACTATACATATAGCTTATGAAAACAAACAAAAATCTAAAGTGAAAGGACATAGTACAAGAGCAATAGGTCCTTCTTGGGCTTTATTTAATGGTGCATCAATGAAGTCAATTTTAGATTCTGCAGATTGGAGTCAAGAATCTACTTTTTGCAATTTCTATCTGAGAGATGTAGATGACAGCGTACCAGTTCTAGAATGTTCTGTAAATAATTAAGTATTTGTTTACTGTGTAAATAGATTTTGTTGTTAGAGATGTGATCATCTCCGGCGAGTTGCGATTGAGAACATTTGTTGTATATAGTCTCCAATCATTCAATATGTGTACATAGTATTTGGTGGATGACATAAATAATGACAGATGAAAATTGCTGTTCTTGAGATTTTAATTTTGAGGTAAGGAAATTTTTCTTTTCCTCCATCCATTTCAGATTGCTTTTGAATATGATTTATCCTAATGTATATGTATGACTGGTAAGTATAACGAACGAAATAAAATTGGAAAATTTGTTATCAAGTTTCAATTTTATGAGTGTGTTATGCTTACCAGTCAACTTTCCCACCTTCCACCCCTTAGAAAAAATTATTTTTGGAAGGTGTATTTTCATGTAGGTTGGGAACGTTTTATTGCCCGCCTATATGAACTGATTTGGGCAAGCGTACGAGATGTGATCTCGGTCTTATAAGTGTTTGAATCTTATTCTTTTAAACGCTTGCCTGAGAGTTATGAACGTTAATAAAGGGAAGATATATGACTGGTAAGTATAACTCACTCATAAAATTGAAACTTGATAACAAATTTTCCAATTTTAAGCGATCAAATTAATAATAACTTAAAATCGATTTCAATTAATAATACTGAAAATAAGCCATGATATTTGAGAAACGTTTCAGTACATGTACATTTCATTTTTTTTTTCATATTAAACATGCATGCACATTTCTTAAAAATAGGAAAACATTCCCATTATGTATACATACTGATAAATCAATTGTATTTATGACTTATTAATAAAAATATTCAGTTGTTTTAGACGTATGGTAGTTGAACAATTCCTGGGTGTTGTACTACAAACTGGGGATCGAGTGCTAATCCGGAATCTGAAAAAAGGTTAACCAAGAACTTAGATTATTCTTGGAGGAGAAAGTGCACATTGAAGTAAAAAAAATGAATAACACTTCAACTGCCTATGCAGATAGGCAAAGGATGGAAGTAGCTAGATTCGTAGAAAACAGTGACTGTTATTTGCTAATGCAATGCAATGATCTTTTGTCATCTTTCGAGGAGAAAGGGATAACAAAGACTTAGCAAGGTAATGCACAAAACCCAAAGACCTCGTCAAAAATCAGGAAGCAGAAGCCGGACAGGACATAATCAATCGGGAGTCCAGAATGACTCACTGAATGACATTGATTTTGAAGCCAATTGACAATCTCTACATGTAAGGTTACCGAGACCACCCATGACACTAATTTATGACCTAATGGGCGCACTTTCATAATGTGCATGTTCATTGCAGTATTACCCTATACGTGCTGTTTTGTATAACTTAGTTTAAAACTTTGGATTCTGTACAGAATATTGCCTAGAGTTTGTTATATGTGGTAGAAAAGACGTCACAGTGACAAAATAATATGTGGTAGAATATGCGTTACGGCGACAAGATAAGATTTTGTGAGTAAAATATGTTAACTAAATTACTTTTTTTCAGTTCTTAAGTATACCTGGGCATTAAATTTTCTAATTTATAATAAACATAAATATACTATGCCATGATGATCCACTGAGTGATTTAGAATTTTGTTTTCCGAAAATTGTCCAATTTTCAACCTGATATAATGCCTAGCACAAATATAAGTTATTTTTACATATACAATAATTATGCCTTATTCCATATACATTGCAATAAAATATGTTCAATTTAAAGTGAATAAAACTGCTACCCAAACAAGAAATACCACAATTTACTTGTTATCCTTGGTTAGGTTTTTTTAGAATCTAAACAAGGAAGACTGCGTTTGAATAATTTCTGTATGAAGGTAAATATTGTGATGCAAAAGTAGCGTGTGAATTTGTTTTCTATTGCTAACAAATTTTGATTTAGGTAAACATTTTTACATGTAATATAAACATGATGATGCAGGTAATCAAACCTGTCTTATATCAGGGTGATTTTTTTTTTTTGTAAAGGCAAATGATAACTTATTTCAAATATTTACCTTTTCTGAAGTCCAGATAAGTTTGTTAGATAAAAAATTATACTGGCTATATAGCATAAAAATATGCACTGTACCTTGTAGGACTGTTGACTGGGAGAAAGAGGTAGGGTATGTACATGTAATTTTAATAGCAATTATTCTAATACCGCTTAAATAAAAGTAAAGAAAAAAAGATTAAGAAATTATATCAAACAAAAAATTATTTGCGCACTGTTTGGGAGTAAATCATCTTATGTTTATCCACTAATTCCTGTATATTTTATCCTCTTTTCAACCTTTTACATGCGCTAAAGTGGCTTGATTTAAATTGTCTGAGGGATTGCGGAAAATTTTAATTCAATCGAGTTTTTCGCATGTAGAGACGACTACAAAGGTTTGGGAGGTGTATAAAGTATACATAATACTTTGAAAATGTGTCATTTTTTGCATTACTGGATCTGAAGCGTTATGATCAAAGACTAATACATGCATAAAAAAACATAACGCTACAGTTCTGCAAGTAGCGTGATAACAAATATGTATTGTAAATCGTATATGTATACATGTTGTGTGTGTGTTCTGCGTGCTATAATATTTGTGTATTTGTGTTTGGCATGATCATTGATGGCGGTCCATTGTCCTTGTATTTGATTTGTAAACATTTCATTCCATCACTTCGTTAAATCTGCCAGATGCTATATGCATGGAAATAATTATTACTGATCGTGACAGAACCAGATAACAAAATTAATTTATACATTTGTTATTAATGTAACAATTAAAGAACACATCGCTATACATATTTGAGTTTCGCATTTTATTGGTTTAAATGATTTTCAAAAGAAAACACTGTCGGCAAAGGAAACAGCTTTTGCCTGTTTTTTTTTTTTTTTATTATCATTTTGAAGTAAACCTGTAAACTTGATTAAGTTTAATGCCCCCTGTAAACGAGGTTTCGGGGGTATATAGTTATTGTCGTGTATGTCTGTCCGTCCGTCTGTCAGTCTGTCTGTCTGTTTGTCTGCATGTCCGCAAAACTTTAACCTTGCCCATAACTTTTGATTTAGTGGAGGCATGACTTTCATATTTCACAAGTGCATTCCTTGTGACAAGACCTTTCTTTGGGTACCACCAAATTTGATCTTTTGACCATGACCTTGAAGTTTGACCAACTTTTGACCAAAATTTTAAACTTTTACTTTGGCCATATCTTTTGAACAGTGGATACCAGGACATTTATAAATCACAAATGTATTCTTTGTTGAAAGACTTGCATTGGATTTCAACAACCTTGACCATTTGACCTTGACCTCCGTACCTGTGAAAAAACTTTAATGGCAATAACTTTTGAACGGTCAGGGAAAGGGTTTCATATTCATATATGTAATTCTTTTGAGAAGACCCTTTATTGGATACCAAGCATTTTGATCCTTTGACCTTGCCTTATGAGTTTGACATACTTTAAAAACCTTGACCATAACTTTTAAAGGGTTAGTGCTAGTGCTTTCATACATCATATATTTAATCCTAGTGACAAGACCTTTCACTTTCGTTCAATAACAAGAACTCTGACCTTTTGACCTTGAAAATTTTAACATTGGCCATAATTTATGCACGGGATTAGGGCTATGGCTTCCATACTCTACATAAGTATTCTATGTGGCAAGACCTTTCATTGAATACCAATTACCTTGACCTTTTGACCTTGACCTTGGAGATTTTTGTGCTTATTAAAAACTTTAACATTGGTCCATTTTCATATTTCACAATGCTTATCCAGTGAGAATACCCTACTTTAAGAACCAATTAATTAAATTTGAATTTAAGAAAAGTTTAATCATTGCTGTGTTGCCATACGGGGGCATCAGTGTTTCACAAACACATCTTGTTTTACATTTAAACTGTAGCTCTCTGCTTGAGAAAATTCGGACAGACAAAGCTGAGAGCTACATATCCAAGCAAAGTAAAAACCTTCGATTTACGCTGACGATTTTTTGTCGCTAAATTAGGTATTTATTTCGTATAGTTTAATTTTCTCTAGTTTTTAGAATGGTATCCTATGATAATTTATATATTTAACTCTTATATTTGATACTTTGTTTACCTTTTATCCGTCCAAAACAGTCCTGTATAAAGTTTTGTAATGTCGGTTTAAAAGAGTTCTATTTCGACGTCCGTAACCACAAACAGCTATTTGTTAGAGTTGAGAGGTAAGGAATGATCAGGAATTGAAGTTGAGGGTTTGATTTATTATTAAATACCATTTAAAATTATTTTCATAGCTGGGGAAAGTATAAAATACACGATAAAATACATGTAGTGAGCGAAAAAAAATAGCCGGCGTAAATCGAAGGTTTTTACTATGTTTAGATATGTAGCTCTCTGCTTTATCTGTCCGAATTTTCTCAGGCAGAGAACTACAGTTCTGCAGGTAGTAAATTCGTAACATATCATTACTTTGCAAGTAGTTATACTCAATTGTTTCTTATTTGGAGTAATTTTATTATATTCAGAAATATTTTTATCTGTGTTTATAAAAGAGAAATGTCTAATTCAAAATTTACAAACTCGCTTATCCGCCGATCACTTAAAGCTGATATGAACTCTAGTTCTTAAATAGGCATTATTTTTCATCCTTCTACGACTTACTACAATTTAATTCGCCTTTATTCCTCCATATGACTTCTATTCCGTCATATTTATTTCAAAACCTGTCGCTACATGTACCCGTACCTGATATATAAACCCTGGTGTATTTATAACACTCTAGTGATTTTCTAGCCTGGCTGTCGACATGCACACAACTCTGATATCATTTGTAGGCAGACCTTAAACTGACCAAAACATGTTTGAAAAGTTAAAATCAAACAAAAACAAGAACTATACTGAGAAGTAAATGATTTGTGAATGCATTTGATGCAATGTAGATGAAAACTAATACGGTTTGAATTCATGTACAGGAAGAACATACATGTACGCGGGACGAGAAAACACGTCGAACGCAGTGATACACACATCTACCTGAATACTGCATCTCATAAGTTATGTAATCCATTGATAACTCTACAGAGAAAAATTTCACTGTATAGCACTTGAACACTGGTGCCTGTCAATCAGTTTATTTGGTAAGGGAAAATTTCAAAAATGGAAATCTCACTTGTATTTTATTTGAGTGAAATGAAAATGCAAATAACTTTTTATTCACAAATCAAAATTACTATTGTCCTTAAATTTAGTGGTTAAAAATAAGTCTTAAGTAATAGGTGCATTGGAGATATATCGTTACTGAAGAAGCTACCTGAAGGAAATATGGCCGAATACGGCTGTAATTGGTATGAAACAAATCGTACATAGATAAACATTTAGCGTTTTTAACGATGCATGTCAGCTTTAAGTAGGAATGTAACGTCTTTACAATAAATATGGCTATTTAATGATATTTTGTAATTTATTTTCAGAAATTTTTTATTAGACGAATGGAAATTGAAGATTAGTACCATCGATATGATAACCAGACATCAAGAACGTAAATTAAGAATTTACATTGCTATAGATGTGATAACAAAATCTTTTCAGAAGTTGTTAGAGTTAAAAATAGCGCCAAATGATCTCATGAAAAAAACCAATGAAATCAAAGATTTCCTCAATAAGGACCAATTGCTTATATTCAAATCTGAACAATATCATAGATTTGATATTTCCTTAATATACGAAATATTTCAAAACCTCGGCGAATACATCAGTTTGGACGGGCCAACAACTCGATGGGAAAATACGTCAATGCTTAAGAAGAAACACACAACTACTTCCGATGATTTGAAGCGAATAATACTTTATCGAAATAAATATTATCATGAAGCTGCTGAAGAGGAAATCACTGAAGCCAAGTTAGAAGAAGTAAAAAATGATTTAATTGAAATAAGTAAACGTATACAAGATCGCACGTCTCCTTTTTTCATTGGGGTAAATTATATAGAACAGATTGAGGACGTGTTCACTACTGATAGCAATCGTCTGGAAAATATTGAAACGAGACTTACACAGTTAGAACAAGGTAAAGCAAAAAGTGTGCATTAATCGAAATTTAATTTAATGATACAAAACATCTCAGTTCTTTAAAGAATATTTGAAAACAAAACAAATATTCTTTAGGAAGAAAACGAAAACATGAGGAAGACTGGAGAACACAGCCCATCAAGAAAGTAATGGGTATGTAATTAACTTATTGTTATAAATACGTGATCCAGCAATTTATAACAAATTGGTAGATACTTGCTTTTCTAATCTAATATGGAAGAAAATATTAAAAACTCATAAAGTGAAATTTCCTACAAATTTCACGCAATTATACGTATACAGCTGAAATAATCTGCATCTCATTAGTATTATCTACGATATGACCAAATATGTGACAAATATGGACACTAATTGATCTTAACGATATGTTTTGAAAACAAAGGTTTTTTTTCTCTCTTTCAATGACTAACATGTAGCATTTTTTCTCTCTTTCAATGACTAATATGTAGGTAAAGAAAAAAATCATAGGTACATGTATCTGGAAGACATGAACAATTTTGGACTGACAATAAAAGAGATAACACAGGTACTTGTTCTGTATATAGGGTAACCTACTTTTCTTTAGCACAAGGTACCTAAATCAATTTCATGCACCCCCGCTTTAAGTTCCCGTTTTGATAATGTATCAATCATTTACCTACTTTGAAATGGCATCGTCCACTTTGTGAGCCTATTTGTCGTCAATTAAATCTATTCAGAAGTCCTTTGTCAAGCCTCTTTTTTGTAAACCACTCATTTTTCCTAAAAAAAAAAAATACTTCGATACAACGTAAGACATCATGTAAGAAGCAAACGATGTCATTTCAAAGTAGGTTAATGATTGATATATTAACAAAACAGGAACTTAAAGACGGGATGCCTGAAATTGACTCAGGCACATGTGTCTTGTGGTAAAAAAAAATAGGTTAGGGTGTTCGGTTTACGAAACAAGCATCTATGGAAGAAAGGTTGAATAAAGAAAAAGATCTAAGTGGCATACTATGTCAAGGAACTATCGAAGCAATTTCTCTTGAAATAATTGGTTCAAATTTTCACCAAACAAGAAACGGCTTCGTGTAGAGACAGGTGAAAATCTACGCATTTCTACAAATGATATAAACTCAAATTGCTGACATCGGGTAAGATCGCTCAGACGATTGCTGTTCTTGAGAAAAAGATCTTATAAAATGGTATTAATTTTATACCTAATTGTGTATCACTCAATTCTACTGTTGATTTTACGCAATCACATGGCATCGTGATCCGACTTTACGGATCACCACACTGTGATTTTCTGATTCTATATCACCACTCTATGAAACTGATGACGTAGTATCCAGAAACATGATATTATTATATTTGCACGTCAAAAAGTCCCTTGTAAGTATGCTCTGTTTTATGGATAAATATTATATAATTGATCTCTAAGATTTATATAACTTAATTTATAAGGGGGGGGGGGGTATACTAATATTTTCAACATAACAGTAACTTTATCAGAATCGTATGACGTCTCGTTGACAGGCACAGATCATTAGAATAAACTCGACTCTTTGCGTCTCGTTTGATCTGATGGTCCGCGCCTGTTATCTCCATATTGATACGACCCATCGGATCAAGTTACTATTATAATAATATATATCTATTTCATTCTAATCTTCCGTATCGTCTATCTTAAGTCTAAGTGGCAATGATAAAAATAATTTTTATCTACCTTAGATTAAACATATTAAAACACGATAAAAAAAAACCATCGTACCTGAAAACAAACTAAAAATATTTTGAAATATTAACATTTGCAAATGCTTTGCTTTATATAACTCTATTTAGACGAGGCCTTCTTACATCTCCGTAAAACACGTTCGTCATGTGACCATAAATTGATTGTTAAGTCATAAGCCGTCTACGTAATTTCATAGTGAAGTCATAAGCGGTCGACGTTATCAAAAAATTTAATTTATACCTTTGAGCTTTAAAAAAATATTCATGGATTACAAACTTTACTAAAGTACATTACTATTTGTAATAAATAAGTCACAAATGTAAATATAAGATATAAGATATCAGTCTCTTTAGTTTTATGGGGATGTAAAACGGGGGTTGGCACTTGATCAAATCTTCTATAAGGCCCTTTTATGGGATTGATCACGTGACCAACCCGTTTTACATGCCAATAAAGCTCAAAATTGATACCTTATTTCTTAATTAATATATTAACTGAACCATAAGAATAATATCCGATGGCATACATGTACAATTTATTTCAGAAGAATTTCCATAACCTAAATGTGGTATCTGAAGTGGTATACTTTGACTGAAACTAAGTTAGATTTGATAGATTAAACAACATTAGCTTAAGTATACATTCTTTTTTGATATTGTTAAAAGTTGTTACAAATATTATATAAGACAGAATCTAAAACATGTAGTATTTCACATTTGAAAGAACTCTACATCATGAACTCAATCAAATACAAAAAAAGTGTCAACAAATCAGATGATCATAAATACTGATAAACCAAAGTGTATATTAATTAATGGGAACCCAACAAAAGAAATCTAAATTAGAAAAACTTAATTTTCATTTACAACTTTCCGGTCATCCCCTTGAAAATGTAGAAATGCACAAATTTCTAGGTGTTCGCATTGACCATTATTCTACAGTATACTAGTCATGTAGATGCAATTTGCAAAACTCTTAAATATAAAATATTTACTTTACGAACAATTAAAAAAATTTCCAATGCATACTAGAAAACTATTTTATAGTGCTTTTTCTTCCTTCAAGTCGCCCGTGTGGCACAGTTGTTAGAGCGTCTGCTCTAGAGTCGCGATGTAAGCAGTCAATACTTACATTGCGGGTTCTAATCCTACTGCGGGACGTGGAGACCGGTCCTTAGGATGAGACTGTATAAACCAAGGCCCCGTGTCACAGTAGGTGCTGGCACGAAAAAGATCCCTCACTGCCCAAATGCCCTGAGTGCCGAGCATAAGACAAAATTTGTAGCCCTCCACCGGCAAGTGGTGGCGTCTCCATATGAGTGTATATTTTCTCGAGAGGGACCTTAAACAACGTACAATTAATCAATCAATCTTCCTTCAATTTTATTTTGTCTATCCATTTGTAGCAACTATCCTCAAATGCAAAAACGAGCAGCTAGGATTATTTTAAATTAAAAATATGAAGATATGATCCCCCTTCAATGCCTTTATTTATCACTTTAGGCTGATCTACAGTTTATTTACAGAAAGCATTGTAACGTTCAAAATATTTCATGGAATGTCTCCGGATTAAATGCATAATCTTTTTGAATTTTAAAGTT